CCCCAAAACCCCAAAACCCCAAAACCCCTTTAAGCTTAGTTTAAGTGAATTGTAAAAAATTAAAAAGATAAAATGAATGCTTATATTCCATCAAACTTGATGCCTAAAAATCTATCAAATATGAATTAACTGTAAAAAAGCAAGCGTAAAGGCTTCAGAATCAGAAGCGAGAAGACTGATCCTATTAGTAATGTCGCTATTTCACTGGAAACTATATGAAATCCAAGGATCAATGATATAAGGAGGGAGAAATCTAGAAATATGATTAAAATGAACAATGACTCAATGGCATAGTTAAGAAAGCAGGGAAGTGTGTTTAATTCATTTCAATAAAATGCAAGAGATGTGCCAATAGTCTTCAGCCCATGAATGCCACCTAACTATAATTTAGCCTAACATGATATTGAGAACCTTAAGTAATAAAAGTATGCAATTATGCATCAACAGTAGCAATGAGAATGACTCAATGCTTCAATATTGCCAACTCTTTCAACACACAATTTGGAGATCAACTTTAAGTCACCTAAGCAGAGATAGCTAGAGCAGTTTATGATAAATACCAAAAGGAGTATCGAGAGGACTAGAGACTGAATCCTTAACTAGAGCTTAGACTTGGATGAGGAAATTGAGAACATTGGCAAAAATGGCAACTCAAGAAATGAGAATATAAATGCTAATGAAGCGAATACTAACTTTATTATGAGATTAAGAGATTAAAGCTAGTTGCTAAGGAGGAAAGTACCCATGAATCATATAAGAGCAGAGAGAATGGCTAACTTCACATTAAGAGGTGACAGGATTGTTATTGAGTCTCATCTCAGAAAGGAATCAGCTTCATGAGAGTCATCTGATGACAAAGGGAGTCAGGATAAGAGTTGCAGTGTGCTCTTTGAAACTCTCCCTCTCTGGCCTTAGTATGAACACAAAAAGAGTATTATACATCTAGATATAAAGTGCATGAACATTTATGAGAATTAGCACCATGACCTCAGATTTAGACACTCTAAGAATTAAAGTTCCTTTAATCAATCAAATAACACAATGCTAGAACCTATATACATAGAAAAGATCAACAATCTAGATCAAAATCAAGATTTCTCTTAGGTAAATGAGCCAGATACATTAAGGTCATACCAAAATGATAGGATACAACTTCCTTAGATTGGAAATCGACGTAAGATAAAGTAGAAACCTATAATGCAGAACAATATATCTAAACTATCCAACTCAAGATCATCTAGTCTGGAAATCAAGAAGCATATTAAAAGAGAATTCGCCCAAAGGCAAGTCCAACCTGTATATACCAAGAATAACATAAACACTCAAAGAAGAAACGATTCTAATTTGAATCCTATACCAACTAATAGATCATTCAAACTTCACTTATGATATATCAATCTGATTACACTTACTTTACATGATATTCACACAATTAATTTCTTAAGTCTCTCTGTAAAAATAATAAAACATAATTATATTTTATTCTCCTATTTGATCCTACTTTCTTCAGCTTTATTTAATATTTATACAATTAAATTTAAATGGACTCATTATACAAAAAGTAAAATTAGCAGTCACAGCTTTCACCTTCAAAAAGTGAGCATTAGAATTACGGAACAACTGATAATGAACATCTAATCAACCCATAGATATGCCAAAATCAAGATAATGAGTCACTAAGTACTCCAGTAGATGATCTAGATAAATAATCACATCCTAATCCATTAGTGAGATACCTTGATTATTACGATAAAATATTGAGTTCCCTGATACACAACAAGGAGGCGCCATTCATCGTAGAACTTATCCTGCTGCCTTTTGCAATGGTCTTTAATAGATTTTACTGTTTTATTGGAGGGTTTGCAGCTAGTCTAATAGCCTACTACAATCCAAGTATAACTCACCAAAAGAAGAATTTAAACGGAAGCATACATTCGGGCATGATATATTTTTTCTTCATGGTAATAGCAGTTCTTTTAACACTTTTATGCACTCAAACGATTAAAAAAATTGTAAAGAGAAAAAGACCCTAAAAGTTTGAGATAAAGAGACTATTTGATCTCATTACGATGGAGGAAGGCACTTTATCGATGCCAAGTGGAGACACAGCATAATGCACCTTATGGTGTGGATTGATGTACTTCACCTATGGTGGGAGTGTTTTATTCACTATGCTTTTGTTTTTGCCTGTTTTAGTTGGGTTTAGTAGAGTATTCTATTAATGTCATTACTTTGGAGATGTGATATTAGGGGGTTTTGTGGGTCTAATTATGGCTTATTTCTTCAAGCTTTAATTTGCTAGATATTTGTGGCTTATTTAATGATCAGGTTGATTAACAAATGAATTCTGAGTTTATTCTTGTTATTAAGAGATGAAGGCATTTGATAAATTCTTATACAAAAAGAATAAGGAGGCATTTGCTATAGATCACTAATAATTATTGCCTTATTCTTTTAATTTATTGATTGATTCACTCTAATCTTATTTTTATTATGAATTTAGGGGTTTTGGGGTTTTGGGGTTTTGGGG